AGCTTAAATCAAGAACCAAGCCTCTTAATTTGAGCGGATTTCCTTTTGATTTAAGCTTAAATCTGATTGAATCAAGAGTCCTTTTTCTTGTCAATGTTTTCAAGAGTCTGGACTCTAGATCCAATGTGTTTTTTTCTTTTCCAGTGTTTAAGAATACTTGAAAAACCTATGTTAAGCTTCATTGTGCCACCAAGACAGTCAACTGTGACTTTGTGTCACAATAGACACATTTACATTCGAGCATAATTCAATTTAAAAATGAATAAGGTCAAACCTGCATCGAAATTCAACGCAGGTTCATCGGTGCCTCCAACTTCGGACGGAATCGGCGGGAGATCCTCAGTTTCCTTGTGTTTTCTGCGGCGCGGTCTAGGTGGTAGTTCTGAAATTAAAAAAAACTTTTTGGATGATACGCATTCATACGCAGAATATTTTATCGGAAAAAAACTCGCGTGACACGGCGAAATTTTTCTCACAATCAGTGTAACCGCGCGATCAAAACGGGATTCTGCGTAAGTCAAAGCTTTCATCCCTAGAAACTGCCTTAATGTAAAACAAGCAGTTCCAACGCCAAAGCGTTGGAGGGCGCTTCTTTAACACTGCGCATGCGAGGAACGTTTTCATACGGCCAAGCGAGAGTATTGCGGACGGACGATGTATAACAAATTGCCTACGTGAAGGTGGTCCGGCAGCAACATACCCGCCGCTAGTCTCTGGAAAACAATAGAAAATAGTAGTTGCGTACGTTGCCAGCGAGCGCGCTGCGAGCGCATCTGTTTCGATTACCTAGCATCGAGTCAGGCCTCTAACTTTCTATTCTCTCTGACATAACCTTAAACCTTCAACCCAGAGCCGCAAACAGCTGACGCTTGACGATGCTGCGCCGAGAAAAGCAACCAATCACAAAATAGCACAGTAATACGTCACTAAAATGAAGAGATCACGTGACTGTTCGTGATTTTTTCGAATCAATCTGAAACTACAACCTCGAATATGAGGCATTTAAGCATAACGAAGCCCCAAAATAGTTTAACCAGGTAATACGTCCGTGCGAGATTGTTATGCTCAAAAGCAAAACAATTCACGAAAACTTTTACGAATACCAGATGCAGAAAAAAATCAAATTTTCCCGGGTGTACCAGAATGGCGTCATTACCCATAAGGCAAAACGGTACGTAGTATAGTACATGTTACATCGGGGGAGTCGAACGGCTGGAAAGGGCGCATCTGGTACCCAGAAGCGCCCAAAACTACTATCCTAAAAAGTGGAATCCACGAATCAATGTGTTATTTCTTTGGTCGAGGTGAAGGTGTTTAAGTTGAAGCAAAAGTGCTCGAAACACCCGCTAAGATGTCAACTTCTTGCGTTGAAAAACAGGAAACAGGAGCAGTTTCGAATAAAAATGAGTATTTTGGGAGGGTTTTTGAAACGGTTGTATATGTATGCGCGATACATCTACAATATATGCTCTATTAGAAATCGAACTTCAGTCAGAGCACTCTAACGCACGATCCGATTGACGTTTTCATAGGTCTAGATAGTGCTACTCTAATGACTTTCGTGTTTTCAAGGGATTTGAACTATCATCCGTTGCCACTTGCAACATAAATGTAGTGCATATGTGATAAAGTGTGTTTTGTAATTTTTTAAAAAATGTGTAAGTTCCCAGAGCAAACTAAGATCATTGAATTTTATGTTAAGCTGCGTAAAACTTTGTATCGTTTTAATACGTTAAAAGCAGTTTAAGTTTTTAAGTCATACAAGAGTTGTGTTAGGTTTACGAGACTTTAAAAACGGGCAAAAATCGGTGGAAAGTGAGATTTATGAAGTCAAACCGGCAACGTCAACCAACGAGTTTCATGTGAATCAAGTTTTTTAGAAACAAAAAACAAAAGCCGTAACGGGTATTCGACGATTCAAAAGCTTTCAGGCGAACTGAATATTTCTTACCAGAGTTGCACGAGTGCAATGAAAAATATGGATGATTGGAAATTTCCATGAAATATTTCTTGATAGACACAAAGCAGTAAAATATATTAAACATATTTTCAGGAGCTGGGTTTGTAACTTTTGCTAAATAATACTGAAACGATACTTCTGCTTTTCATTTAATTTAATTATATTTTTTTTAACTTTCATTTTTTTTCGAAATTTCATGAAATACCTCAAATGAAATTGCAAGTTTTCATTTTTCATGGAAAATTGCAACCCTGTTACCCACGGGTCGGATCGGGGAATTTAAAAACAAAAGTTGAACTTGCGTATAGTGTTTTTGCAACGAAGTTGCCATGGGTGTTAAGCCAAGCACAATATGCGTGTTTTCATCTGCTAACGGCTAGCACGCCGCTCAAACTTAGATGCAGATTTTCTAGGTAAAAATATCACCGGTGATGAAACGTGGATGCTGAAAGATATGATGATTTTGCGGTTTCTCAAAATTACAAAACGTAACGCAGCACACCTAAATTACAAGGGTTTCGAAAACAAACTACTGAAGATAATGCATTCATCGGCTAGTCTATCGGGTGATCAGCAATCAAAAAAGTCTAAAATGATAATGGGAACGTCTGTTGGCCTGCAATTTTAAATGCATTTAAGAAAATAGTCGAATTTTTATTTACAATACTCTCGAATGTCAAATGGACAAAACAGATAGTTGGAGCATGAATCCGTTGTCCTGATTTCCTAATTCAAGTAAAAATGTTTCGTAAGCACCATGTACTCACCCTTAATCTTAATCTAACCTTTTCATATTATTTTGTGAGCACACTTTTAACTGGGCTCAGGAAATCGGGACGCGAAGCACACACATGACGCACATTGATGAAATTATCCCTTTTCGCCTCATAATATGGAATATGCTTTTTTTTCTTCACTCAGTTCAAACGAGTTGAAAACGCTCCTCGACCACTATTATGTATGGAGAATGTCTTTTTTGACAACAATACAATGGAAATTAATAACCTGAGATTTTTCCTCCGATTTTCACTCATTCATTTCTGTCAAAAGTTCATTTGTCAAAGGTTCATTTATTCATCTTTATGTTCATAGAATTTTCTCAAATGTTACACGAAGAAGAAATGCCAGTGTTACTAGATATGTGATTATGTATGATCTCCAAGAAATCTAGGAGCCGCCGCTAGATTTTTGACAGTGCTTATAACACAGCTGGTAAGCACAAGCATATGAATGACCGACACCGACAGAAATTTAGTTCTGGTTACCAGAATTTCCTAGTAATTTTCAGGAGTCAGCCATCAATACTTTTAATGTATTTTCCGAGGAAAACACACGATTTTATTTGTTTATTTAATCTGTCAGAGGCACATTTTATGCACTATCCAAATGAAAGTGAATTTAATGGAATTAAATTAATTTTTGATACATCAATGGATTGAAACCAAATTAATCGAGTTTTCATTGATATAATCCTACGATCTTCTAATTATATGTAGATATTTCATTAATAATTGAGTAAGTGGAAAAAGCTTCATTTTCTGCACCAAAAGGGGGAGGGGCTTAATGGTATTTGATCACAACACAAAATTATCTAAAACACAAGCTTTACTTGGCTCACCGATTGGTTGATCATCGTAATTTTGACTCTGCTCCGAACCCGCTTCTGTTGTCCAAACAAATGTGCTCGTCACGAAGAAAATTGTGAGCACGTATCTTTCTCGCCTCTGCATTTTGAGTGAGCTAACCTGGCTGAATAGTTGATCAAACTGACGCACACACTCTTTCGACTAATTTTAGCTTCGTCCGCAAGGTGGCGAAGCCTGAATTATCGGCCATCTCGTCTATCGTTTTTCTCCCATTTGAAACCACGGTGAAAAGTCGATTGTTAAGCTATCTCGCATTTGTTAACCGCAGGCGCAGTGGAAAAATGCGGGGAAAAATGAAACCGAAAACGTCAACATTTTCCCCTCGTGCCACTAAGTCGCAAACTGCCTAACGAATGTTGTAAAAAATTCATAGATCGGTGATACGACTCGCCCTTGCCAAATTTACAATTTACAATTTATTTTTTTATTTTTTTTTTTTGGAACGTAGTGAAATAGCTGCGCCTTGCAAATGTTAACGGAAACAAAGTATGCCTTTAGATGCCCAGACTACACCAGTTAACTAATACTTTCTTTCGGTACCATTGTAGAAGATATGCTGATTTTTATACTTTTTGTCATTCTCTTCCGGGTTCAAGTCCCCAAACGAGGTACGAACGATAGTTATTCAAATATTACTAAATTGACATTTTATGTAAATCCAAAATAGGCCGAAATCTATACCTGTTGGGAAAAAATTGGTCTTTCTAAAAAAAGACTAATGGCTAGAAATGAAAGCCCAGAAAAAAACAGCAAAACGCTTTTAATCGAGAAGCTCTATGTGATCAATTAATTATACAGAGTTCTAAGCGGGTTGATTAAACCTATCTTCCGTGATTTGCTCGTATTTTTATTTCTGGCGCTTGAGTCTTTTTGAATGACTATTTAAATCGAAAATAATTCATCCAGGAAATATCAGTGGCTTCAATGGAAAGGGAACCTAACTTAACATAACTTAACATCTTTTAATAACATACTTAACTAACTTAACATTTTTGGAGGAATCGAGCTATATTCTGAGATTACCCGCGACGAACCCTCTCTGAGATATTTTACGATAAGAGGATGAGTTGATGGTTACGAGTGTTAGACAATTAAAAACAGAGGTAAAATTGGAATGAATATGATATTCTTGAATTTATCTTTTCTAGAAACATGAAAAATATTTTCAAAATTATGAAACTTTGAATACGTACTAAACATTTTCGGTCGGCAAGTATTACTAGCTCCGAGGTTTGAGGCAGAGAAGTTTTTCGGTAACTATGAGCAATAATGATCATGGGTTTAACGGCATCATTTTCTTTAGGGTGTTTCCAACTTTTACGAATGTTTCCCGAAATGTTTTACGAATGAAAAAAAAAATAATTATTTTCAAGCGGAACGGTTCTATGGAGAGGTGTGTTACAATATTGGCAGCACAATGTGGCAATGACTCTTCGTGCAGTTGCGTTTCTCTGTAGATGGAGCCAGGGGTATCGAAACTGGTATCGACTCATGCTCATTCTTTGGTTTCTTTTTGGGTGAACTGTCACCAGTTAGTCGGATTTTTGTAAAAGCAAAAAATTTGAGCCCTTTCGCGAACCATCCTTGGCAAACAGATTCTTGTAAGGCCAAGGTAAATTCGGGTGGGTTCTTCGACTCAAAGAATTCCAAAAAGAGTCTTCCTCCCCTCATTTCTCAAGAGTAGGAAAAATATTTTAAAAAAACAACAGTTGTTCATTTCACTAGTTTATTTTATTTTTCCGCGGGATCGTCTAACGACCAGAAGAAATCCACGCCTTCAGTCGAAGGTTTTTAACTAACAAAGAGTTTCATTTGCTAATTCTTTAATCTGCAATTTGCTCCGTAAAATCCATACTCATTAACTTTTCCATTCTTTGACTTCACAAAACGAAGGAAACGTCTTGCTTTCAGTCAGTGAAGAGCACAATTGATAAGAACTGAGATAATATAACTCGATGCATAGGTATAATCGTACTCTCATCAGAATATTTTGTTACGAGAGTAATAATGACATCTTCGCTTTGTGTTCAAGAGAGCTCATACAAATTAAGAAATGCTCAATGAAATTGGCCGTATGGACCAGTTTTGAAATGATCTAGTCGAGGTATTTTGATTAATTTAATTGGTTTTATTCCGTTTTACAATAATGCTCGAATTAATAACAATAAATTAAATAACAAAAAATGAGATGAACAGAAGGAGGGTACTACCCCCATTCTTACTACCCCCATTAATCTCAATACTTTTCATTAAAAAAAGCGTGTTCTATAGAAAATTTTGATGAGAAGTCATTTTATCAAAATTATTGAAATCGCACCTTGTCTTGGTAAGACTGTTGACGTACCAAATAGGTATAAATGGACGTATTTCTGCTGAACGGACCTACAGACGAGTGAGAAAGATGGAATATACTCTAGAAAGCTGGATAAGAAACAATGTAAAAGTGGGCGTGAATCCCTTAGGGGAAATAGAAAAGCGGGATTTTACATTCTACCAAACGGAACTAAGCGCCAACTGCATGCGGCACTCATGAGCCGCGGTCACGGCAAAGAGCGTTGTGGACAGGGCTCACGAGTCGAAGACTCCGGACGGCAAGATCCTCATCCTGGTCGTCACGCGCTGACGTCACTGGCGCTCATTTTTACGGCCCTCCTCGATCAACGAGCACACCTATTTTTCCCACCTGTCTCTAATTTCTTGAGCAGAAATACGTCCAAATCACAATAATGAAGAGTGGCTTTGCTAAAACTATGGCTTGGACTTTGAACGCTTGAGTCCACCAAACAAATCGCTCGCAGATTTTCTTTTCAGCATTGATCTAAGCGGCTTGATCACTCCTGCTGCTGACTTGGCTCTGATCAAAGCGGCTTTGGGCAAACCGAGCCTGAGCGAACCCTGTTTCGACGATCTTGATGAGCTTGACCTTTTTGACGACACATCGGAGTGCCTCCACGCGAGTTTCCTCTTATCTTCTGATTGCTTCTTGGGGGGTTTCGGCTGCGAGGGCGGCGGTCGAGGCGGCCAGTTGTACCGGTACAGGTCGCAGTTCCAATTCTTCAAATAATCTTTCGCGCACCAGGGGCTTTTCTCGTATTCCCTCGCAAAGTCATCTTTATTCATCTGTAATATTTTCAAAGCCGATTCAAACGCGTGAGCCCAGTCACATACGCATTTGCGCCTTTGGTGTTTGGATTTGGGGTTTACGATTATCCAGACCGGACGCGCCAACGATACCAATGTTCCATTTGGCAGGATCAGGAACCCGAGTTCCGTGCACTCGGCCAGGCACTCTGGAGGGGTGTCATCAGGCCATTCTTCCCCGGATGAATAAGGCTCGCGGGGCGAATTGGGGTTGGAGCTGATCGTTGAGTCATGTTCTGAAACAAGTCAAATTGCGATTATATTGTTGTGTACAATCTCTGAAAAAAATTATTTTTGGACGTTTTTTTAAGGAACGAGAGCGGTGGCACGCGGCGTGCTTTACGATGTATCGATTGACCTGCCATGTATACCTATGGAAAAGGATCGATGAACAGGGTTGTTTGCAATAAATACCCTCATATTCGATTCTTTACCATAGCTATGAATAGGGAAATATCGATTATTCACGCTTCACCACTGAAGGAGAGTTGGGTATGAAAAACCTCTCAAATCGGAAATAAGGGTGTTGACCTAACACATCATAGCTATAGTGATTGTGTCTGTGATGTCTTTTAATTGAACGTATTTCTGTCAAACGGAACTAAGCGCCCTATGGGGAGGAAGGTAGAGGGGGGGGCTTGGATTGGCGGCGGAACCGGGCTCATTCCATCCTGTACTCGCAATGCTTTTCCATGGCGCTTAGTTCCGTTTTATAGAACGCGCTATCCGGCATTCTAAATTCCTCAAAAGGAACTTGAATTGGCGCTTAGTTCCGTTTGACAGAAATTCGTCCAATTTGACGAGCAAAAACACCAATAATAGTCGTGTATCTGTGACTTAGTGACAACATATTTTCGATATATTTCGGGGGAAAACATATTGTTCATTGTTATAAATCGAGGATTGAAAGGTGCCGGAGTCCAAGTTCATATATGGCCCAATAACCCTGAGTTGAATGAATAGCATCATAAAAGCGTATGACACTCCGCTAAAAGAGTAGATTCCACTCCGTAATAGCGTGAGTTAATCCATAAGGAGTTTATGCACGAGTAGTGAAGTTGCATTTGTATCCAAAATTTACGTTCATGAACATGCTATAATAAAACTTCGAGCAGTTATTTCAAACTAATTGAGGCTTTGTCCAACTAAAATTTTGAAGTCGTCCTAACTCCGACTTGATTGGATTTGTTTTTCCGGGCACTTTTTCGTTCCCATAAAATAATGTTCACATCATAACATTCTTCTTTGCAGCACGGTGGTGCCACTTTTTTTCGTAGTTTTTTATGCCGAAGTCAATTTTTCCGTGGACGTTCACATTGTCGCTCCTCTTGACGAAAGAGCGTATCTTAATTTACACGTGAGCCATGCTCTCCGCATAACTCTATGCTTCCCGCGGCTCTCGTGGAAATAGAGACACGCCCTCGCGTCAGCGGGACGACGATGTAGGTGATGGACGTGAATGATATCTCTTATTTATAGATTTTTAGATGGTTATTTGTCAACCATATAAAATCGTCTGTCAGAACCTCACGCAAAAATACTCATTAGTCGCCTATAGAAAAAAATAAGGGCGGAAGTTGATTGGATTTCGGGTTTTTCCCCATTTTTTGCTTGTGTAGTGAAAGGCTTGGAGAGGGAAGGAGGGGAAAATATTGCTCTTGTCATGCAAAATATACGCGAGACTGACGTTCGCTGTTTCATTTGTCTGTTTCGAGCGTTTTAACATGGCTTAAAGAAAGCTCATCGGCACCTCAGTCATTGCTTCGCTTTCCTCTGAGCAAAGCTCAGTGAGAACCTTGATTATTGGCGTATCATACGACATCTTTATATTTTGCGAAATAATCAATGCAGAGCTATACATTGTGCTACTTTTTTTATTCGACTCGTGTTCTTATTAGAGGAGTTATTCGCTGTTTTTTCTCCTGAATAGATGTTCGTATTGATAGGTATCGCTATTTGACTGGGGGATTTAATATTATAGC